GGGGGGGTCCTGCGGCTGGCACTGAGCCCAACTGGCAGGTCAAGCCTCGGCTGCCCGCCCCCCTCCTCCCGTCCTTCGCTCTCCGCCAGACTTCACAGCCCGCAGCGGGGCAAATCGCGCCGCCTGCCCCCTCCGGCGAGCCCACACAACCCCGGTCCGACCTCGTCCACGTCAAAGTCAACATTCCCACAGCCCTCATCTATCGGCTCGTTATTCCATCGGCATTTTGCCGCCTTTCGACGACTTTCCGGGCCCCTTGGGCGCGAGGGTGCGAAGCCCATCGAGCTAGCGGCAAAAGCAACGGGCGCTCGCAGATGTGGAAAAGGAGGGCAGGCAAGAAAACGGACGGAGCGGCGCGGCAACTTCTCGCAAGTCACCGTCGAGGCCGAGCGACTCACCGGCGAGTCCGTGAACGACGAGCAGCGTTGCGAAAAGTCCGTAAAGCGGCTCCATGGCTTCCGAGGACTAGACCGGACCGAGGCTCGCTGTCCTCCCGCGTCCCAACTGTGGATCAAAGTCTGGCCGGCCGATCGTCTCCCCGAAAGAAGTGAAGTGAAGTGGGCTGTACCACTGCGACGGGAAACGTTTCGCCTGGAAAGGCACGGCGGGATGTACCACTCCAAGCGCGGTGAGGACGACTTCTACTTTCACTCCCAACCCTCGCGAACGCGTTGAGTCAAAACGTAGCTGCCACACCACGTGACGAATGCGACCTTTACGGACACCCACTTGAACGACTTGAGAGCGCATCCGTGTGGACACGTCGATCCAACGAGATAAACGTTCATCACCAAAAAAGAAGCTCGCTTTCAAGTTGGAACGTGATGAAAGTCACGTTTTAACAAAGCTTGATGAGAGGACTTTAAAAAAACACAGTTGTGACACAGCGTCGTCGTCGAGGGTCAACGAGCCTTATTTAAAATTCACAAATGTCGAAGAAAGACATTAAAAATGTTTTTTTTTTTTAATCGCGATTTTTTTCCAGTGGTGTGGATCAGTGGGCAAATGCAGCTGTACACGCCTTGAGAGGCGGTCACGTCTTTCAGGTGTTGTCAGAGAAGCTGCAATAAAAGAAACGCGTTGCAAAATGAGGAAGTGAAAGTTAATCGAAAGCCCAGGAGATTGCTTCCTGAAGGACGATACTGCACCGTCCGCACTTGACGATAAACGAAAAGCCTTCAAGCTCCGAAGTTGACTTCGGTGTTGTTGCCGTTTCAAAACACATTTTCCCTCAAGAATGAATTCCGTCTTCATCATTCATGTGGATGCTCAAAGTCAAAACAGCGGAGGCGACTGCGCCTTTTCGGGAGGGTGTCATGACACTGTTTTGTGGGTCTACTCGTGCCAGACGTACCCACCAAATTTCGTGTGGCGAACTATAGGGATAAACGACTGGGGGCTGGAAAAAAAAATAAAAGCTTTAAAGACAAGTTTTTCTTTAAAGGAACCTTGATATGGCCAAAATGAGCCAAAAACGGCGGCTTCAAACGTCCCCGCTGAGTCTTTTTTGTGATTCTACTCAGGCTAGACAGAGCTACCAAATTGCATGTGGCGAAACTGAAACAGGCTTCGGGAGCTGAGTTTCCCCGCCAGATTCAAGCGCTCCAATTTGTTTTTGAAGGTGCTGCTGGAAAAGAGGAGCCCAGAATGGCCGCCTAAAAGCAAAATGGCTGACTTCTTTTCGGGAATGGCTTCTTGTGGCTCTGCATTGCAGGACGGCCTTGGTGGCGGCCTGCAGCCCAACCGGTCATTGTGACTAAAGCGTGAGCTTGGATTGCGTTTGCTGTCTCTCTGAACACCCTCTGGTGGCTTCTCGTGAACCAGAGAGCGCGTCAATTGCCCTTCTCCGCAATTAATGCAAGAAGCTCTTCCATTCTGGGGCCAATTTGAAGAGCAACAACACTCATCAATCTCCCGCGCGCTTTCATGGGGCTTTGGAATGATGTGTTGATTCCCGAAGAGCCAGAAAAACGTCACACTCAAAACTTGGCACTTGAAAGAGCTGTGATGTCTCAAATCCCGCAAGACTTCAGCTCAATGGAAACACTTTGGGGGTTTGTGTGTTTTTGTGATGCGTGCTGATAAGCTCAAATCTAAAAAAAAAAAAAATGGTGTGTGTGTGTGTGTGTGTGTGTTTCCTAATGTGTGACCATCATACATCCAAAACCTCACAAGTGAAATAAAACCGGGAATGACATTCGCTTTGAGGCTTCAGCTTTGTGAGCAACTGAACAATTCGCTCCATGAGTGTGTTGTACTTTTTTGGGGGGGGTGGGGCTGTTTTGTGTTTTGAGATGTGATCACGTTACATCCAATAAAACCTGAAAGTCAAACAAAACGTGGAGTTCAGACAGTGAGAGGCCAAAATGTTGGGTTTTATTTATTTTTTAAAATGTTATTTTGTATTTTTTTTTGGGGAGGGGGTTCCAAAAGGTGATGACAATAATACAAAGTCCAACAAAACTTGCATGACATAAGCAAATCTTTTTGGCTTTGTGGAGATCAGAACTCCATGTGCGTCTTGTCATTTCTCTTTGTTTTTCGTCTTTTTATGATTGTGCAATGATATCCTTTGAAACCCCCGCCCCCCCTCCAAAAAAAAAAAAAAAACTCAAAAATTGAATAAAACTTCATCAAAGCAATATCATGAGAAAACCTCAGCTCAGTCAATGTTTTTCTTTGGCTTTTTTTAGTTTGTCATTTTGGTGTTTGGTTTGATTTAGTCCAGGCAGCAATGGCATCACCCCACGTCGGAGAGCGTTTTTTGCTTTTCACCTGGCGAAAACAAAGGTTTTGTGAAAACACAGCATTCCTCGCGAGTCACGCTGCTGCCTGTCGCACACTCCACACCATTTTTTTTTCTGGTTGTGGGGGGGGGGGGCAGATTTCAGTGATTCTGTTGTTTGCTTCGAAGCCTTTGTTGACGGCGTAGGATAGTGGATGCACTGAAAAGTGGATCTTCAAACACGAACGAGATAACCGCCCGCCCAACAGTAACGTTGCCCATCCCTGCTCCGAATCAACCGACCAGCTTCAGCCTCTTTGTACACGCACGAGTTCCGCAACCAGGCTCCGGCAAGTGTTTGTTGTTTTGAAAGCGCTCCATAAGGTGGAGCGGAGCAGCTTTTTGTTCTCTTTTCTGTCCCAACAACACGTGTCACCTTTTGGCATTTTGCTCTCTTCTCTCCCTTGTTCCCCGTGTCAGTTAGTCACAGATGCGGGCTTTCCAACCTGGCGTCCAGAACAGTCCGTGTGGTTCTTTTCCTCCTTTGGCCCGGAGGACATGACGTCCACAATAACATGACATGACGTCTTTCTTTTGACAGCGCCTTCACAACAGCTGAAGCTGTTTTGCGATGCGTTTTCTACGACGGAAATCAAGAAGTAAAGAATACAACAAAACATAAAACGTGGACAACAACTCTTCCTTGGTACGCCTTGGTTTTTGAAGCAGTTCAACAGATGAAAGAGAATCAAAATCTCCTTTCACCAGCGGATGAGAGACGCGACATCACACACGCCTGCCCCGAGCTCAGTTCATCCATGGCTGAAAATACAGAGATTGGTTCAATTTGCCCCGTTCCATTTCGATCCCCTTTGATTCCAAGCGCCGACTTTTTTGTTGCACATCGGCATGCGCCGACGCTCGTTTCGCCTGCTGGCTTGTGGGCACACTGCCGAAAAGGCGCGACCACTGAGCGCAGATTTTTCCCCAAAACGCCGACAACAGTGCACAGCGGGTCCGCGCCTCAAGGACAGCAAACGCCACGTGACATTTGCCACAACACTTTGAAATGCGGACTCGTCAGACCACAGCAGACTTTTCCACTTTTCATCAGTCCATCGTAGAAGCCGGCGGCCTTTCCGGCTCTTGGCTTTACATCGGAAAGTTTGAAGTTGCACCGATGGACGTAGCGCCCAACTGGATTTGTTGACAAATTAAGAACTTGTTTGGCTCCTCTCGCAACCCCCCGCCTCCCTCCCCGTCAACCGGGGGGGGGGGGGGGAGAAAGCAGAATCATTTTCACACACTTTGGCGTGAAAGAAGCTTGAGTGGAAAGCAATCACGAGTCCATTCGCCAAAAAACAAGCCAAAAGTTGTAAAACACTTTCACTTGCTGTTGAATGGCAAAGTGTCTTGAAACATTTGAAGAGGAGTGAACATGTTTTGACAACGGCGACATTTTCCTCGGGTGTGCGCTTAGCTGCAAAGGAAAAAAAAAAAAAAAAGACATTTCTATCTTTTCTGAGGTTATTTTGGGAGAACTTGTTTGCTCTCCGGAGAAATGCCAGAAGTGAAAAAGACAACAGTCTTGTTGTGTGTCATGTGCTCTATCTCTTGGTCAAGGGGAAACATTGGATTAAAATCTGGATTTTTGTGGGGGTTGAATCCCAAATGTTATTTTAAGGTCACACGACCCTCCTGGCCTTTGGCCTCAGTTTCGAAAAGCGCCGCAGCGAATGACGTGCCGACAGCTGAAATGAGCGACGCCGCGGCCGATTTGCTGGAAAACACGTTGCTGAGTGACTCGCGAGAGCATCGACCAAAACAAAAGCCCAAGCAGTGAAGCAAACACGCGTGGCGAAACGGACACGGTGGCGGCCGAGGGTTTCCCGAAGCACTTTTGAGGAAAACGGCGCTTGCCTTGACATTTTCGTTCCCAAGCTTGTGTATTAAGAGTCTGACACCACAAATGTGATTTTCAAACTTCCTCTGGCAATTCCAGGAAGAATTTTGGAGTGTTTCGTTTCAAGGGGAAATAAATAAGTGGGATGCACAAGTACGGGCCCTTCTATTTTGGCGTCTCGAACCGTCATGAAAAATGTAATAACAAAGTCAATTCTTGGATTTTTTTCCTTCCAAAACTGAAGCTGAACAGCTTTGGGGAATTAGAAATTGGCTTCTTGTAGTTTCAACAGTCAATCGAGGTAGAAGGCGACGTGAAGCGACACCGACATCCCAAATGAAACGCCCCCCCCCCCCTTTGTGCTATGTGTTTTTCTTGACAAGACCCATTTTTGTGCTTCTTGACCAATTGCCTTCCATTTTGTCTGGAACATACTCCTCCTCCATTTTGCACAAATACCAAGTGGCCCAAATCCTCCTCGAGATTTTGCCAGTCGAATAAGTCCGCAGAGTCAGATTCCGTGACGCTTTTATTCAACGTTGTGCAAAAAAAACAGCTCACAGCAGAGTCGACGTCCAAGACCGACTTGCAATATCGCAAACCTCCGGCCAATGTCACAACAGAAAGAACTCGCCCAATCTCCACAACGTGGGCTGAAGAAGAGCCTCGTCAATTTCCACTAGAGACCTCCACCAAGGCAACCCCGATTTGCAGCGACACGCACTGGTTTTGCCACTTGGGCCTCAGTCACCTCAAGTGGCCATTCCCTGCTTCCAACTTGTGGCAGCGGCGGCCTCCTCAGTCCTCTCGGAGGTAAGCTTCAGGCACGTCTTCCTCGCTCTTCTCCAGAGCGGCGGCGCGCTGGGCGCCGGCTCGGATCTCCAGGGCTTTGGCCTCAGCCAGCTTCTTGTCGGCGTCGCGGGAGAATTTGCGAGCCTCCTCCGCCTGGGAGCGGGCCACCTCGATGTTGCTCCGCATGGCGACGGACGCTTGCTCGGCCCCTGCAAACGCTCGGCGTCACAACGTGCATCGGCCAGTCGTGAGCGCTCATGTCTCGCCCGTGATTTGTCGAGAGCAAGAATTCGACGGGGAGCTCAAGCCCAAATTTCATTTGGCGAGGATACTTTCTCGCTACGTTAGCCGGTGAATGTTGTGTCAAGCGCTTTGCTACAGCTGTGCCGAATGCGCTACATCAATAAAGATGGGTTGTATCACAAAGAAAGAATAGCTCTCCCAAAATTGCCATCAAAGTTGTGTCATGTTCAGGAAAAATACGCTATCAGGATGCAAATCGTTACAAGGCGTTGTTTTGACATGACCTACCACGAGGCAGAAACTTTTCAAAGGTTGTGTGAAGCCTCCCCACCCACTTGTCTTGGAACTCCAAGCCTACTGTGCATTCCAGAAAATGGAGACGTGGGGACTTCAATTTTATTCTGCTTGAGAATCGGGGGCAAACTGATGAGCGCATTGATGTGAAACACTCTTCAAATACAACCGAGTCGGGCGGAGTTTTTGTGTCACTTTGGCGCCATCTGGTGGCAGCTCGGTGCGACTGAGTCGAGCTTCATCTTTTACGCCATCGTGTGGCGCCCACCGGCAATTACAGCAACAAGTTCGGCGCTCGTGCTCACCCCCTCGAGTTCATTTGAGAAAATCGACAAAGCACAGGAAGACTTTGAGGACTGACCTGAAAACTTTCACGCGAGACATTTCCCGCATGCTTTTTGCCCACCTGAAGCATACGCCGCTTCCGCTGCCGTTTCGCCCAAGCGGAGGGCGCTGATCCACAACGCCTCGAAACGCTCGCATTCCTCCTGTCTGTCGCTGACCTGGCAGGCAGGAGAACACGTGACATCACTCCGCCGCGGCCCGCGCTCGGCGAGTCCCGACGAGCGGAACTCACCTCCGCGCGCTGGCCGAGCATCACCTGCCAGATGGACTCCTCCTCCGTTTGGCTCAGACGCCCCAGCGAGGCCAGGTAACGTTTTTGGAGCTCGAGCAGCGTGTGCACAGCCTGGCCAGGAAAAAAAAACAAACAAACAAAACAAGCGAGCACATCTTTACACTGTTTTGCGTCCTCCATCATAGCCTCCTTTTGGAGCTTTTTGAGAGGTCTGTCAAAGACACATTGATCCTCCAAATGTCTCCTGAAATTCAAACGACACATACAGCGAGCAATGCTGCGAGACGTGAAACGTACAGTTGAGGTCCACCCAAAAAGGTTTGCAATTGCCTCGAATTGCCACAAGGTGGCGGCAAAGCATTTCTACAGGAGAAGGCTGGCTTGAAGAAATGAAGCGCCTCGCAACACTTTGCACATTGTTCCTTGGTACCAAAGTGCCACCAAAGCAATAGTTTGGACTTGGTTTTAACAGAGGATCAGTTAGTTAAAAAATATATATATATCTGTGACTAGGCTCGACTTTTAAAAGTTCAGCCCCTAAAAACAGTTTCACTTTGCCACATAGCATTTGAAAGGCTTTTCTATTCTGAGTCGAGCCCCCCTAAAAAGTTTCAAGAAGCCAACTGACACAGGAAGTCTCTCATTTTGTTTTAAAGGGCTCTTCATCCCCTCCGAGAGATTTGGTCAACTCTTGTCACCTTGACGTGCGGAGGTAGCAGATAAACAAAGTTATGAAAACGAGTAAGCTTGACGGTCGCGCGCCGCGCTCGGCGCAAACTAGTTCATAGTGCGATCGTTTTCAACTTTAGAAAGTTTCGTAACCTCATGCGGAGCAGCTGGAATTTTTGACGACCTGTTGTGCGCAAGCCAAGCGGTCCACCAGAGGAGATGCGGCCGGCGTCAAAGTTTGACCGTTTTGCGGGTCGGTATCACGCTCACCTTTGAATACTCCGTGATGGCATCTATGAGGGCTAAAGTGGTCTGCGAGAGGAACGTGGCGGAACTGTCCGTCACCAGCGAGGCCGCTCGCCTGATCAGAGACTCGTGAGTGAGGCTCGGCGCCTGCGACAACATACACCCCAAAAAGAAATAACTAAGCTTCCACAACCTTGGAATGTCGGAAACTTTCAATGAGAAGTCACGGAATGGTGTGGGAATAAACAAGAGTTGAGCAAACTGAAAATTAATTTTGAGCAGAGAACTTGCATGTCGTCGGGGAAAATACATTTCAATTGATTTTCAATTACTGTACTTGAAGTTGATCGCACACTTAAAATCTTTCAAACTTGATCAAGTTGGAGTGGAAAAAGAATCTGGAGCAATCTCCTGCTTTTAAATCGGCTCATTTGGCTCGCACCTTTGCTGGTGATAAAACAAAAGCTCGAACGCCTTCCCCAAATTTGCCAGTGAAAAGTTTACATCGACATTTCTTGGAAAAGCTTTCAGACGTTTGCCAGAATCAGCAAATGACGGCATGGTCAAAGCGCAACCGTCGCCCTTACTTGAGCGAAGGGAACGGCGCACAGCCCGCCGCCCAGCGCCGCCACCGACGTTGCCACGCTCCTCCATTTTGCCAAGGCGCAGCCCGCCGGTTTGCCGCGCCTGCGCAGCACCTGAACATTGCTCCTGCAAGCGGCCACAACACAGTTGTACTAAGTGCTTCGTTTCACAGAGGATAAAGAAAATGTGTGCCCGTGAGCATTGTATTATTGTCTGTCGGCGTGGCGCGCTCATTCGTTTTGTGTTTAAATAAATGCTGTTTGAAAGGTAGCGACGGGCCAAATGAAGCTTCCCGAACCACTGGGGAATTGATTCGGCCTAAGCTTCGTGACTCGGTGCTTCATTCACATTAGCTCTCGACTGACATCTGCTGTCCAGGGGCAAGTATAGCAGATGGAATTGTGACAAAAATAAGATTGGAGGCTCGGCAGTGACGTTAAGTCCATCCATAAGTAGCAGTAAACATAGCATAGTGAGTACAATGTTTATGAATAACCCTCAATAAATCTGAGTTTAAAACGGTCACAAATAAAAGGAAGCTCGAGCAGGGCTTTATTTACGGAAAGTCTTTCGATACTCGTATGTCATGTCCTTGTTTATCATAGTTGCTTTTTATTGCAATACTAGTGTAGCCTCGACGACCGGAGACAACTTCCTTGTGTGTTCTTGGCCAAGAAAGACGATTCCGATTCTGATTTGGCGCGCCCACTTTTGCGCAAGACGCGCTCCGAAGCCCCCTTCATTTGGCCCGAGACGACTGAAAGGGTTATTAACTGTCACGACGCCCATGCTAATTTTGTTTGCCTGTCAATGACTTTTTGCGCTGGAGGTGAGCATTAAATTAGGGAACCTTCTGAAATTCTCTGTTTTAATATGTCGAAACTTCAACAGGGAATAGCACCAAACACCTTGAAGCAAGCTGGTCAAAGTCTGATAAAAGCAGACAATTTCATATTCGATTGTCGCACATTGCACGTGCCATGATTGAAAGGAGCCTAGTTCTTCGAGAGATTGCGCAGCCTTTTAGCGCAGGTGTGCCGAAAGCGGTGGCTGGCGGGTACAAGTCAAAGCAAGACCACTTTTCTCCACTCGTTTCAGTCAAACCGCTGCACATGAACGTTCCAAAACGTCTCATCGACAACTTGCATATCGATGTTTTGTGAAGTGGTCGTTTGTCGATGAATTGTAATGGTACAGATGTTGCGTCACTGTAGGTACGTTCCAATGACTTCCGGTTTGCTTTCCGGTCGAAGCCCGTCGCTTCATTGCGCGAAAAAACAGCAGCCATTGTTTTTTTGTACACGTATTTCGTTAGATTTACAAGTAACGTCTTTATTCGGGCGGAATGTGAAGCTGAAACTCATTTAAAAAGGGACCTACCGGAGCAAACAGAGGAAAGCTGACCCCCGCCCGAGCGCGGCCATGTTGGTCCGTCCAGGAAACATGCCCCATGCCCTCCCGCTGACACTTCCGGTTTCACGACACGCGCTGCTGCCATCTGGTGGCCAGAAAACCTTCGGCGTTCACCTTCTCATCAGTTTAGGAAACGTTTCCGTGGCACAAAAGTAAACGATCGAAGAGATTCTCGGACTTATTCTCCCAGTGTAAAATTAGTCATGCTTATTTCAATTTCTCTCGAAGTATAATAATTCCTGTTCGTTTCACTGAATAAGTGGGATACAAAATTAGAAATAGCACTACTATCCAAACTACAAAGTACAACCACATCAATGATCTTGTTGTAGTTATTTTTGTCAATGCCAAATTTCTGATACCGATTGTGCAAGTGTTGCTCATTTAAAATCTGGGTTGCGGAGTATATTTTGTTTGATTTAAAAGAGTAAAAGTCCTCCAAATATTGCATTGTCATTGCCGTCTGATGAAATCCAAGACCGTGTTCAAAGTGAACAACAACTTATGAATAGTGAATGATGCCGGTAATGAGTTTCATTGGACTTTGTCGTCAATACTCAGGGTGGCATCTTTGTGTACAAAAACACATGACGACACGATTAAAAACAGCTCGAGTGGACCTGCGTAACTGCATCCCATGATGAGCAACACTTTGCACTCAAAACACCTTGCACAAACACAGTGAATAATTAATGATTGCTTTTAGGCTTTAATGAGTTTCACAGGGATTGTTTTATCTTGTGAGACCAGTGACATGGACAAAATGACTGAGGAGCGCCTTCATTCTTGGAAGACCCCCTGCCCCCGCTCCTCCACATACATACACACACACTCAGGCCCTCGAATGACTCCACGCAACCAAACATTTCAATGTCTAGCAAACACAGGTGGGTGACTGACCACCCGTCTCCTTACCAAATGAAAAACTGTGGACGTGTCCCATTGTTGGGCAGTCAGAAACACACGTTGGTTCGATGAACCCGCTGTGATTTGGACATGGAATTCTTTGTGGCCTAAGCCGCATTTGCGATCAGGTCATCGAGACTGCGAGCCATCGACTTCAGCGTTCTTCACTTGGAATGCTTTCCCAGGCCTGGTCGTGCTTCGATTGTTGTTTCGAGCAGATTTGGTTTTGTTTCATGGTTTACCTTTAAGTTTGTGCCCATCGGAGGGCTTCTCCGTTGTCGCACTGGTTGGTCATCGTGTCACAAGCTTTTTTTTTTTTTTTTTTTTTTTTTGTGCCAAGGACTGCCTCGGCGTCGGATATTTGGGTTGCCGTCACGTTGTTTTGTTTGTCATAGTGGCATATTTTGTTGTTACTTTTTGTTCGTTTTTCATGACTTTGTTTGTTCAGTGTGCCCCGTGAGTGTTTTCGTCCATACGTTGGGTTCAGTCCACCCTGCTTCTCCCGCCTCCCCGCTTTCGGGTCCACGACCGTCACGCATAACCACGACAGAGCCTTTCTGCAGCCTCTTGAGGTTCCTGGTTGTTTCTGAAACCCAACCGTCTTCAATAAGGACGAAGCAATTGACCTCGCCGTTCCAACACGTTTCGGAGGCGACGGTACGCGTAACTGTCATGGCGCCGTTTCCTCAAGCAGAGGTTGCAAGTTTGGCGATTTAGTTTGTTGGTCACTATGGAGAGAGGATGATGACTTGTTTACGCCGAAGCAATTCGCCCTCCCTGCCTCCCTCCCCACCTCTGAAAGAACGGCTACGCCCCCGGGC